AGGCAGAAGGGATAGACACAGAGACCTACATCTAAGGAGGTGAAACACCAAACACTGGGCCCACTGGCATGTCACTATCAGAGCCTCAGGAGTGTCAAGCTTTCATGGCAGCTCACAGCTGAGATCCTCATCCTCCTGGAACGAGACCTTCTTTTCTGTGGATTAGGTGAGTATGCATTGCCAATGGCCAGAAAGCTGGTCTGTTCATTTCTCTGTCTCTCCCTGAAACTTTGCACTCATTTCTACTGCAGGAAGAGAAAGCTGCAAATAAGGAGTGTGAGAATTGGATATTGTGCAAAGGATGGAATTTCACAACTGTGGATGTTGAATATAAAGCATGGATGTGAGGTTAGCTGGGTGAGCCTGAGTGTTGATTGTTCTTGTGAGGGTGAGGAGGTATCTAGACAGACAGGAATGAATGGAGCTTCAGGGTATGTTGCTCGAAGGAGTGCTGTGCGGGAGAATGCTGAAAAAGTCAGAGTGTGGGGCTTGGCACCTGAAAGAGTTACCACACTCATCTATCCTGCCCTCATGAAGTCTCGGATTCGCTTGATGCAAAGGGTGGAGGGAGTACACTTATGCTGCTGATGTCCCCAGCTACTTCCATTCACATCTTTGGTTTGTGAGGTTGTTCTTTACTTCTTGTGCTTGGAAAACAACATTTCCCTGCAGTCCTCAAAGCAGCACCTCAATTTCAGAGAGAGAGAGAAATAGACTGAGAGACAGTGCTCTTCTGTCTCCTTTTTATTCCTGTGATTGTTGCAGCCTCAGGAATCAATTAACAGTTCAGCCAGTCTGATCCTTGGGGCTGTTCCTTTTAGTAGAAATTCTTTCATTGACAGATCATGTTATCATTAAACATAGACTCTGTGATTAATTGAGAAACCCACAAGCAGAATGCTTGCAAGAGAGCTATGGAAATGCTCACTTAATGATAAACAGGTTCCTGTTCACTACCATAATCACCTCCTCAACTCCTACCACTGTGTGTAAATCTGTTTAGATACAATTCTGCCCATGATGTAGGACTAGAGTCACGTGTAGCTCAGATTGGCTTGAAGAAGAGCCCAGTGAAGGGTATTAGTGAACCAGTTAGATTTTTGTAACAGTCCTATAGATTTCATGGTCACTTTTAAATGAGGCCACCCATAAATCAGCACTGGCCTAGTATGATCTAAACTCCCAACCTTTGTACCATACTCTCCAATAAGTTTAAACTGTTTGCAGTTTTAATTGGCTCTGGATTAATCATTTACAAAACAGAAAAGCAAAGTAATGAAAATTCACTTACTTCTGACGCATGGAGATAATCATTACCTTCATTGCACCAGTGAATTACTATGATCTAGAATGCGCTGTCTGAAAGGGTGGTGGAAGCAGATTTAAAACTTACTTTAGGAGGGCAACAAACACAGAATATACTGGAGAAACTCAGCAGGTCTGGCAGCATATTTGGCCAGAGAAGAAGAGTTAACTTTTGATGTGACTTCTTCAGAACCCTTTAACTGTGAAAGAAACCTACAAAAATACTTAATATCACAGAATCAAAACAATGGTACAAGACAGGTGGAACATTTGACTACTTGTGTCTGTGACAGATCTTTCTCCAGATATCCAATCAATCCCACTTCCTTGCTCTTTTCCCAATATTCTGAAAATATTTCCTTTCAAGTGTATATCTTTTCCTTACTTTTTTTAACCTAGAAAGTGGTGAGAATGTGGAATTCCTTTGAATTTATGTAGACTATAAGACCATTAAATGTAGGATCAAAAGCGGGCCATTCAACCCATTGAGTCTGCTCTGCGATTTGGTGAGATTATGGCTGATCTGATAATCCTCAATTCTACTTTCCTGACTTTTCTCTATGAACTTGATTCCTTTACAGATTAAAAATGGACCCCCATTGTGACCAGTACATTCACTTCCAAGTATGAGTATTTTGTTATTGCTATTTTCCTTCCCCAAATCCTGTCCACCGTCTACAAGACACAAGTCAAGAGTGTGTTGGAATACCCCCTACTTGCCTGGATGGGTGCAGCTCCAGCAATGCTCGAGAAGCATGGCTCCATCCAGAACAAAACAGCCCACTTGATTTACACCACATCCATAAAAGCCATCCACGAATGATGCTCAGTAGCCGCAGTGTGTACTGTCTACAGGTTGCACTACAGAAATTCAGCAAAGCTCCTTAGGTAGCACATTCCAAATCCACAATCACTGCCATCTAGAAGGACAAGGGCAGCAGGTAGACAGGGACACCACTACCTGTAAGTTCCCTTCCAAGGCGCTCAGCATCTTGACTTGGGAATATAACCAGAGTTCCTTCAGTGTTGCCGGGTTAAAATCCTGGAACACCTTCACTATTGGCATTGTGGCTCTATTTACACTTAATAGATTGCAGTTATTCAAAAACGCAGCTCACCGCCACTTTCTCAAGGGTAACTAGGGATGGATAATAAGCACTCGTCCACCCACACACACACATGAATGTATAATTAAGAAAATTACCCATTTCCGTTTCCCTGAAAAGATGAGTGAGCCACCTCGCTGAACCACTATAGTGTGATTGAATTCCAGGAGTCACAGTGAAGATGTTGGGGCAGAGGGTCTGGGCCCTCACACCTGTTATTGGTGTGTGACACCTGAGGAGGAAATGCATTAGAAATTGAAGATGCATGAGAAAAAGGAGATGTATGTGAGCATAGCGAGGTTGTACATGAGAGAGCCATATTTTCAATGTGCGCTCCAGCAGGGGACTGATCCCTGTCTGCAACATAAACTCATTCATTCAGCCCTAAGTAGAGTGAGTCAGAGCCTCTGCCAGTGTTACAATTCCTCTGAGTGTGTAGCCTCAAGCTTTGAGCCCCTGGTTAGGATGTGCAGGGCCAATGTAAGTACCAGCAGGAGATACAGTATGTAACAGGGAATACCATTTCAAACGGATGTCCAGTGCTTATGGAAGCTGGGAGGGTGCATCAATCCAGACAGTGTTTTGTTTCCAATTTCCACCCTGATCTCACCTTCACCTGGCCCATCTCTGACTTCTCCCTTCACTTCCTCAACATCTTTGTTTCCTTTTCTAGGGACGTCAGCCACTGAAAATCCATTACAAATGCTCCGAACCTCACAGTGAGCTCGACCATACACCCTGCTTCCTGTAAGAACTCCATCCCATTCTCCCTGTTTCTCTATTGCATCTGTTCTGACGATGCCACCATCCAAGGTTAGTGAGTGGGGTGGGGTGGGGCTTGGAAATATCCATCTGTTTCCTCAACCGAGAATTCCCTGCTACTAAGATAAGGCCCTTAGCCATGTCTGTCCCATTTCCTGCACTTTTGGCCTCACCCCTTCCCTTCCCTCCCACAACTCCGATGGGGTGGTCCTCACTTTCTATCCCACCAGCCTACTTACCAAAGGATCATAAGCCACCAAAACTGTCAGCAGGATGTCACCACCAGAAACGTATTCCCTTCACCTCCCTCATCAGCATTCCACAGGGACCATTCCCCTGGGACACCATGATCCACTCCTCCTCCATTTCTAATAGCCCCACGGCACTTTACCATACAATTACAGAAGGTACAGCATTAGCCCATTTACCTCCTCCCTCCTCACTATCCAAGGCCCCAGACACACCTTCCAGTTGAAGCAGTGATTTACTTGTACTTCACGCAACCTACTTGACCACTCAAGTCTACTGTATTCACTGCTTACAATGCCATCTCCTGGGTGATTGTTTTGCATTTCACCCACATTTTGTCCGTAAAAATGATCCCGAGCTTCTGGTAGACTGCCACATCAACACATCACCATCTTCCTGTGCTGACATTTCTGTCTCGGACTTGTTGTCACTCTCCAGCAACGCTCAGTGCAATCTGGAGGAACAACACTTCATCTTTTGTCTAGGTACACTACAGCCTTCAGAGTTTCAGAATGTGAACACCCTCCTCCTTGTTCGTTACCCTCTCCCCATGGCCCAAGGTCCTGTTTTTTATAGGTTCACCTAGCACAGCCAACTCATTTTGAACCATATATACCTTTCAGTAGCACACTATCCAGCATTTCTTTCTCTCTCAGCTTATCATTATCATTCTTTTTGTTTGCCTATCCCTTTCCCTCTCTCTCTCTATCTCTTTCTCTCTGTGACTCTCTGGGCAACATCACTGTATTATATTCACTCCATCCCAACACCATCATCCGCATAAATACCACCATTTCCCAGATGTTTTCAGTTCTGGCGACGGACCTTTGGATTCAAAAAGTTTACTGTTTTTCTCTCCATAGCCTAAATGTTCTGAGTTCTGATGAAGGGCCACTCGACCCGAAATGTTAACTCTGATTTCTCTCCACAGATGCTGCCAGACCTGCTGAGCTTTTCCAGCAATTTCTATTTTTGTTTCCGACTTATAGAATCCGTAGTTCTTTCAGTTTCCATATAATTGTGTATTCGATCTACAAGATGCACTAAAGTAATTCACCACAGCTTCTATCAAAGCCACAACAACTACTATCTAAGGAACATCACCACCTGCAAGTTCCTATCTAACTGACATACCATCCTGACTTGTGAATAAATTACTGATCCTTCACTGTCAGGGAATGAAAATCCAGTAGCTTCCTCCCAATGCCATTGTGACTGTACCTACACCAAAAAGTCTTCAGTCATTCAAGGAGGCAACTCAGCATCACCTTTTCAAGCAACACTAAGGGTATGAATAAATGTTGGCCCAGCCAGCAATGTCCACATCCCATGAATGATTTTTTTAAAAAATGGTTCCCCCCCCCACCATTAAGTATTTCATATTGGTAGGAATTAGAAGTTTATTCCTTTTAAAGACAGTTAGAAATTTCAGGAAATGGTGGAGAGTCAGAATAACAATTGCTGCTGTTCTTGTGGATATCCATTCCTGATGAGTTATAGCGAGTATCTAATGGCCATGAGAAGTTGTTCACTAATGCCCATTCTTTACCTGTAATAACTAACTAATTTTTAATCCAGTACCAATCACGGTGACAACAATAACCCAAGGAACCGGACCAACTAAACCCACAGGAACAGGGACAACAGCCACTGCGACAAGAACTCCAGAAAAGGCCACACCAACAGGTACAAATGGACAGCAGCAGTTGCATTGTTGGACATCGACAAAGACATTGGGAAGGACATCAGCTCAACTTATGCCAGTGATTTCTCTCACTGTAATCTCCTCCAGTCCAAACATCCGCTGAGATATCAGCTCTCTTCCAAATCTGGCCCCTTGCCTAGCCCTGATTTTACTGTTCTACCATCGAGTGCTATGCCTTCAGCAGCCTGGACCCTAAGTTCTGGAATTCCATCTCTAAATCTCTTTAACTCTCTACTTTCTAACTTTTAACTTTACCTATTTGACCAAGCTTTCCTGGCCTACCAACAATTTTTGTTAAGTTCAGTGAAGCACCTTAGGATGTTGAACTATAAATAAGTCCTTCAATATATTAGAATTTTACATTAGGTTTGAATACAGCATATTTTGTTTTGCGACTATGTTCTTAAATCTGAATAAAGATAACAATGAAGGTATGAGGAGCAGGTTGGCACTGGCAGATTGGGAAAATACACTCAAAGATTTGATGGTAGACAGGCAATGGCTATAATTTAAAAATACTAAAAGATCTACAACAGAAATACATTCTTCTAAGGCACAAGCAACCTAAGGGAAAAAAGAAATCAGCAGTTGGTAATGAAAGAGGTTATTGGTTGCATTAGATGGAAGGAAGTGGCTTATTTGAATGCCAGGTATAGTGGTAAGCTTGTGGTTTGGGAGCAGTTTTGGACCAAGCAAAAGAACCGAGAAACTGATTAGGAAAGGGGAAAGAGCATATGAAGGCAAGCTGGCGAGGAACATAGAGGAAGACTGTAAAATCTCTTCTTGATATGTGAAATGTAAAAGATTAACTCAGACAAGGTGAGCACATTGTAGGTGGGGACAGGAGAATTTATAATGAAGAACAGGGAAATCGTAGAGAAACTAAACAGTTACTTTGCATCAATCTTCCAGAAGAAGTGACAAAAAATTTCTCAGAAATACTAGGTGACCAAGGGTCTGTGAGGAACTGGAAGAAAGTAGTATTAGTAAAGGAGTAGAACTTGAAAAATTAGTTAGATTGAAAAATTAGTCAGACTGTTGATGGAAGTGACTGTGGATTCGATAGATTGTGAAAAAGTTCCTGCTAATTGAAAGGTGGCAAATGTAATCTCACTACTAAGCAGAGGAGAAGAGGGAGACTGGAGAACAACAGACCCATTGAATTGATGTCAGTAGTGGGAAAAATATTAGAATCAATTATAAATGATGTAATAATTGAATATTAAGAGAAGAATGGTAAAACTGGGCAGAGTCAACATGAATTTACAAAAGAGAAATCATATTTGACCAAATTGTTGGAAGATTTTGTTGATGTTAACTTGTTACAGAGATAAAAGAGAACCAATGGATGTGATATATTTGGATTTTCAGAAGGCATTTAATCAGGTTCAACACAGGACTTTAGCAGATAAAATTATGGGATTGGGAGTTATATACTGGTATGGGTTGAGAATTGAATAACAGAAGAAAAACAGAGAGTAGAAATAAACTGATCAACCTCAAGATGGCAGACTGTTACTAGGGGAGGTACTATAAGGGTCAGTGCTGGGTCCACAATCAATATCAATTATAATTTTTCTATCTTTGCTGGTGACACCAAACTGGGTGGGAACTTGGATTGTGAGGAAGATGTAAGGATGCTTCAAGGGAACTTGGATAGGCTAATGTGCTATAACATAGCAGGTGGACTATAATGTGAGTAAGCGGGAGATTATTCACTTTGGTTGAAAAAAACAGAAAGGCACAATATCTCTTAAGTGGTGAGACGTTGGGAACTGTAGGTATCCAAAGAGATCACGGTGTCCTTGTTTGTGAGTCACTAAAATCTAGCTGCAAGTGCACTAAGCAATTAGAAATGCAAACGGTTTGTTGGCCTTCATTTCAAAGAAACTTGAATAAAGAAGTAAAGGAGTTTTGCTGTAGTTATGTAGAGAACATGTGAGACTACACCCGAAGCAGTAGTACTTTGCCTCCTCATATACTTGGACATTCTTGCCTTACAGGATGTTCGACAAAAGTTCATCAGATTAGAAACAAAGTTGCTGGAAAAGCTTAGCAGGTCTGGCAGCATCTGT